ATTTAAATTCGATTCTTATTCGATTCTGAGTATAGAACCGAGAACCAAACCGAACCCGTCGGTTCTCGATTCAGATACCCTTTCGAGTATTTAACTTATGAAGAACAGCTTGGTTCGCTTCAATTCGATTCGCTTCACTTCGATTCGGTTCGAGAGTTTTGTCCAGCCCTAATTAAAATGAATACTTGAGCAGGCAGAGTCAATGAGCCATGGATTGTTCCTTTATCTGTTCATGTGAATTGACACTACTTGTCAAATATTTGGAATACTTGAAAATACTCGTCCTATTTAACATTTAGTATTTGCTTGACCCAATTTCTTAAAATTCATTTTCAGCCACACATTTCACCAATTTTTATCAACAAAAAAAAAATTCTATTCTTTACCCAAACAATAAACTATAAACTTGACCAAAGCGATTTTTCTCATAAAAATTTTACGATAGGGCCTTAAGCTTTTTCCCCCAACCTAACAGGGCAGCAAATATACGGAGTATATCACAATCGCGGCTGAGTTGGTAGGGTCTTCCGTCTTGATGTTTTGTTTATTCAACATATACACGTATAATTTCAAATTTTATACATTTTTGGCTAAAAAAAAATCGAAAGTGGCTCAAACTTCACAACACCACGCAGGAAGTAGATAAGAATTTTCAAAATCTGCACACAGGAAAAGTATTTGCTTTACAGGAAGGAATGTTTGACATATAAGTGCAGTAACGAGAGATAGATGATAGTAGACGTAGACAAAAATAAAAATATTATTTTAACAGTAGAATCAAGAGAATATATCAAATTAATGTCAACTGCAGGATCCAAAAATGTGAAATCAAACTCAGCTGCTAGTAAAGAATAAACTGGAGACTTTAGACTTCCCTATTATGCATGAGAATATCCGAAAAAGAAATAAAGCACCAAATTATCCAACTTTCTTGACTGAATTGATAAAGAAGGTTATACCTAGAATAAAAAGAAAATTTTCTGAAAGTCCAAATACGAATTTCCCAAAGGAAACCTGCACATAAAAGACAGATACTGGTCAGCGAAACATATAGCATTTTTGTCTGTAAAACGAAGATTACCACACCAATTATTTTACTTTGTTTCATATGTAATATGAAATTCCCTCATACAAGCTATCGTGATAATGACTCTCGTATATTGAGAGAGGAGAAAAACTGAGCTGAGTTGATTTCTTTGCCCTATTTGTTTTGCCTTTATTTTCCTTTCCTTTTCTCTTTACTTTTTCTCTGAGTTGGTTTGTACCAGGAAGCTAATAAACTCTGCTAGAGACCATATTGTCTAAAGGTTGCAATAATTTAAGGTTAGCATACTAGGTCTAGTAGATAGTAAGCTAATCTGATGTAGTAGTTTTTTTCAATTAAAGAAACTATGTAATCATCTTGATGATCCCATAAACTATATCTGAAACAACTTGATTGCGTAGCACCTCCAACCAGTTGGTTATTTATAATGCACTGAAGATCAAAAAAGGCTGTTGAAACCAATGACGATAACAATGAGCTATAGAAGTTTGGAAAGATTTTTTGTTCTCCCCTTGAAAATAAAAACAGAAAAGAAAATGTAAGGGACTAACCTGTGTATTTTGAAATGATGTACTCAGGCATCTCATTAAATTTCCATCCACTAAAGCTGGAAAATCCAAGACATCTATGTATCTGTTGTGCACCATCCACATGAAGACAATTTCTTCATTGATCATCTGGTTATATTATTTGATAGAGGTCACAAAAAATTTCCTCACGTAGTATTAGCTGTGTTAGTTTCCTTTGAAGCAAAACTGGTAGACCTAGGACGCTCGGTTTCTCTGACAACTCTGCTATATACAACTTTGAATGGCTGTGAACTGTATGGCCTTTTGAGCAAACTTAATGGCATTCTCAGCATCTGCTTTCGGTTTCTTCTCCCTCTGATTAAAATATTGAAGGTTTTTTCTTCACCAGCATCTGATTGCTGTCTCTGCACATGATAATCATTGCATCTGATGTCCTCTTCTTTTGGACTAGGATTGTTCATTAATTGGTTTGCAGGAACAGTAAGGCTATGTATACTAGATTTATGTTTTTCTTCCCCATTTCCTGATTGAACCACAACTATGTCATTTAAGTTCTCCACTGTCTCTGATGCTAGAAGAGCTACTTCTTTCTTAGACTCAGTCCCAGTGTCCAGATCTACTGGCAAATTTTGTGCCAAATTCAGAGTCTCCGAGTAAATAAGTTGCTCCTTTGACTCTGAAGTGGACTCAGCAATTGACTCTATTGGCAAATTTTGTGCCAAATTCAGAGTCTCCGAGTAAATAAGTTGCTCCTTTGACTCCGAAGTGGATTCAGCAATTGACTCAACTACAGGTGGCGAGACAGGCAACTCTATTGGGCGAGGGCCAGGCCAAACTGCGCCAGGAATGTAGTCCGACAAATTGGCATTTATGTTACATTGCCAGACAAAATGATTGGGATGAAATGGACCACTAGGTACCGGAAAAGTGCTCGGTGGTAATGATCGGGGTTGAGTGTATGTAGGGTACATAAATGGCAAGGGGTGCATCATGTTAGGTGTTGGTGGAGGTGATGGATATGGGTGGTGAGGGGAGGAGCACATGGGATTGGGTAAAATGGTAGTGGGAGCTGGATGAAGAGTCATATTCATTGGCCAAGGGCCAACAGTTCCCGGACCAGAAGGGGGAGTAATGTTCATAGACAATGGTGCTACACGTCCAGCGGTTGGTGATGGGTTAAATGGAGTTGCTGATGCAGACAACTTCTTATTGGATATCTCTCTGGATTCATTTGAACCGTCCACTGAAGATTTCACCTTTAGTTCTTCGACTCCTCCTAAAGTAGATTTTGGATCATTATCAGCTTCCGCTATGTTAATTGAATCCTTGGAACAAATAAGCATTTCTAGAGAATCTACAGAACTTGAACTGTTATCATTCTGAATATCTTGCTGAACCATTTTATTAAAGTCAACAGTGCCGGATTCGCACGGTGCTACAATTACTGCAACCTCTGAGTTATTATCATCTGTTGTGTCCTTTGAAAGAATTTCTCCTTTCTTTTCAGAAGAGTCATCTTCATTTTTCAGATGGGTCGTGGGATGCACAACTAAAACTTGAATATTCTCTTCCTCAATATTTTCAGCATTTAATAGCATGGACCCAGTATTTTCCACAACCTCATTGTTTTGCTCATCATGTCTTTTGAGTTCCTTGCTTTCAAGAGTTTCATTTTGGGGAAGTCTCACCTGCAGCATGGGTATAGTACCTGGTGGCGCCAGAGCTACTTCCTTATAAGAAGGAGATTTCCCCAAGCTTACTATTGAACTTTTCTTTGCTACTGGTCCAACCTCTCTTTGTATGGAAACCATCCCTTGCTCTACTGGGGAACATAATGACTCACCTTCATTTTTGGAGGTCTCTGCAGAAGCATCTTTGGCAGATGAAGATACAGACTTAACTCTGTATGTTACTGCTTTGACTAATTTTCGCCCAAATTTGGTACCTGGAGATGGACCTTTTGCAACAAAATATTCAGTATAACTTCCTGGAGACATTGTCCGTTTCTTTAACAGATAATATTTACTACTTAGATGGTTATTCTTGAGTCTAGGATGATCCACTTCAGCAACTTCTTTTTTCTGATAAGCAAGAATCTTACTTGCATTCTGCCTTCGCTGCCTCAGTCGTCTCCCATACAAGCCAGATGATCTGGGTCTTTGAACTGACTGCCATCCATCTTCTCCTTCGGCATGTGTTTCAGGCGAGGCATCACCGTAAACAGCAGGCTTTCTAACTACAGCTTCCTCCAGCAAAGGTTTGTTGGACTGACCTGGTATTTCTGCAGTAGATTCTTTTACCACATTCTCTTCATGCTGAACTGACAAAGAAATTAATTCATGGTTCACGTTGTTCTTGACTTCAGCCTCAAGAATTTGGATCTCTTCATCTGACACCTCTTTCAGAGTACCTCTGGGAGAAGCCTCAAATTTTGGGGAGGCAATACTGTTTTGAGGAGATTTTCCCTTCACCTAAGACAAGAAAGTACAAATCAACAGTTGAATGGCATATTAAATTTCTAATATAGTTGCCTGCATCCCAATGGGGATTTTGCTTACAGAACATTATAGAATCGGATCAAAATGGAAAATGCTATCAAACATCCAATAAATGAAATGACAGCCTAACGTTTGAAGACAAATAATTTTACCAATTTTGATTTCTAAGTGTAAAACTTAAACATGCACATCACTTTTGTTGATGAAAATGAGAGAATATTGCATATACTTGGATACCAATAGCATGAGAAAGTAGAGCGACGGTAGTATTCTTTACTGACCCATTGCACGTTCCAATATCTTACAGAAATAAATTGCGAAAAGTTTGAGCTATCTAAAACCTTTTATTGGCGACGTCATAACCTTTTACTCTTACAGAATAAGAATAGATAAATAAACAAAAGCAAACCTTTGCGTTATAACTTCTCTTCGCTCCTCTAGCATCTTTCCCTTTGAAATCATGACTTGGATTAATGTAGTCAAGCAAATCCGATACACTGTCAATCAAAAAAATGATTAACCGAAAAATTGATTCCACTAGGAATTTTAGTGATAATGATAGTGCTGAAATTTTAAGATGTAGGCCACCATGTACAATTCCTTCGAAATAAAAAGATCGTGATGAAATCACTGGAATGTTGTACTCATTTCCTGTCAATTGAAAGATTTGTACTCGGACATTCTGTGGTGTGTTTCAGACAAAAGTTATTTATCCTAAAATTAACTTTAATATCTAAAAGACACCACGGGTTTCAGACAACGACGTGGAAGCATATTGTTATGTTTGTAGGTGAAACTAAAACACTTGATTCATTATGATTCTAGAGATCAAAGGAATAGATGACATACAAATTTCTTAGCTAAAGACTTACAAAAGGTGTGCACCATCAAAAGGAGATGGAAATTATACAAACAGCCACGTCTAGGGAATGGGGGGTCTCCCAAGCATTTTAGTCCAAATGTTGCCCATTATAGTTAGCAAAACACAGGTGGAAATATGGTATTTCATATGTTCAACTGTAGCTCCAACATATTTTATTTTTTCATTTTGAAAAGTACATCTAAGAAATCAGTATTAAGTAATGAGAAGAGAAAAATACACAAAACTACTGTGTAGAATAATAGAAATGAGTTTAATCTTATATTCTCTCAATATTTTTTATTCAGTGCAGCAACTCATTCTAGATATAAAACTTAAAATCTCCTCAAATTGTACCATACAAATTTCTAGCAAAAGAATATTTTTCGGGTGGAAAATTATACCAATCAAACACACTTGAAATCATTTTCCCTGCAAAACATTTTCTAGGCAAATCTTTTCCCTGTAAAACATTTTCTTTCCACCCATTTTCCACCCTTGCAATCAAATGCACCCTAATAGAAATGAGTTTAATCTTATATTCTCTCAATATTTTTTATTCAGTGCAGCAACTCGTTCTAGATATAAAACTTAAAATCTCCTCAAATTGTACCATACAAATTTCTAGCAAAAGAAAAAAAAAATTAAGAAGCAAACTCAAAGTATAGTGAATAAAACTACTTATTGTTATGTTAAATTAGTGAATCAGTTCGCTTGACTAAACCTATCTTTCAAAAGGATATGTGGCTTGTCTAGCTCACCCCCTTCACTTAATAGGAAAACAAGAGCAGGGTGCAGCGCTAGCCTAGTTTCAGCAGCAATCAATTAGTATTCAGTATCAGCTCTCGTTTCCAATATGCACTGTATTGAGCTCGCAAAAATCAATGCCACTATTAACTCTTTACTTCGTGTTGATTTGGTGGGTCATGGAACTACTTTTTGACTTTAACCTAGATGGTCCACAAGAAGATGATTTCAAGAGCACCATGTCAAAGGTACAGTAGGATTTTTACTTTCTATGGCACTTTCGTAAATATTTCCAATACGCTTAACCATAAATGGGAAAATACACATATAAATGAAACTGCACAAATCAAATAAGCCAACTTACAAATCACAGAGAAAATGTTAATGTACCTTAGATGACCCTTGCTGGCTATAGATGCGTCAGGCTTTCGACTCCCATTTCGAGCCGCTTCTTGCTGCTCAAAAGCCTTGGACTCGAAGTATTCAAGCCATGCAGCAGCATCCTGCAGGATTTGTTTACAACAGACATGATGTTAAGGATGAAAAAAGCCTAGAATGGACATATACAAATCAAATTGTTTCAAACTCGAAATTTTGCTATAGGAGGCTTCATAACTGAGTCATCCCTATATTCAGTATATCAAGAAACTAATTTATTTGAATCCAGATTAAAAGAGAAATAAGTGCTAATGGCGTAAGTTATTAAACTATTTACTATACCGTGCTGAATTAACTTCCAGGAAAAGATTGTTATGGAGATTTCATTGAATCCGTGCCCAAGATCACACGTAGCATATTTCAGGCAAAAAGTAGAATATATATAGTGATTTAGTTTCTTGTACTTTCATTAGTTTTAAGTTTAAAAAATCTCAAAAATTCCAATTTTCAAGAATCTAAGTATAAATAGGACTAGTATGAATAATGGGAGACATTCAGTGATAATGATTTTCACTGACTCTATTTCCCAAATTCCCATTTCTTTCTGTCTCTTCTTCTCTTTCATTCTCTTTTCCATTCTACATCACTTTCCCTCTAATAAAATGTGGAAATTTTTTTGTTTCTAATCATGACATAAGGTATCAAAAGTTACAGAGTATTAATCAATCACATGTCATCAACAATTATGTGCTAATACCACTTAGAAAGTGCCAGAAAATACAGAGGTAACTCCATGGACCCACGGAAGAAGGAAGTACCTGTGTACGAAGGTCATCCGGGCCCAACTTTGCTCGGAGTATCTGCAAGGTTGTTTGCTCATGCTGAACACTTAATGGATACGCTTCCATCAACGAAAGTGCAATTGCTATAGCATGATAACTAGCTGCTGTCTGAAAAGAATGAAAAGCATAAAGAATATTAATTCTAAAAAATAGAAGCCCAATTTGTGAAAATCCCCAAGTCCTGTGAACCCTCAGTCCTGGAGCATGTATAATCTAGATACATCTTCATAATGAAAAGACAGTAGCCCAGAATTAATTGTTCAACGAAGTCAGCACTCGTCCAACTCATCCAACATACTCTAATCATATAGATTATATCCTCTTCAATTCCTCCTTCCTTGGTAATTAGGGAACCTGACCTATAAGAATCACTATGTGGGGCACCACAGTTTTACATACAAATTAAAGTGTTTTGTGAGTAAAATATGACGAGTATAATTCTAGGAGAAGGCATTGATTTTATACTTATCCCTACTTAGTACTTAAAAGATAAATGAAAAGGCAAAAACCTATCATTTGTAAGAATCGGACATTCCCACTTCAGAAGCCCTCAACTTTCAATGAAAAATAATTATTTTATATATCAGGTGAATATTATTTTGAATATTTTTTCCTTTTTTATAGAACACCAAAAAGAACTAAATATCACAGTTACAAAAGAATAATTTAACTGATTATTAAAGTTAAAGCAGCATGGTACCTGAATATGATCTGGACCAAGGAGCATTTGGTTGCACTTCAGAGCTTTATGGAGATATCTGAGAGCAACATGCACATTACCCAGTCCTTCCTCCATCATAGCCACATTTATATATGTTGCAGCAGTGTTTGGATGTGATGGACCACACGTGAGGTGTAACAAATACAATGCTCGCTTTACGTATCTAAACAATTAAAAGGCAAAATACCAAGTTATGAAAGAAAAGAAAAAAAAAGCACTGCAATAAAATGTATAAAAGGATTATATCCACACAGAGAGCTAAAAGTCAAGGCAAGCAGTATAGAATAACTATTAATTATCAACATTATGCTTAGAAAATTTGTAAATAAAGAACCGTACAAAGCCTCACTCCAACATATGAGATCAGCTAGACAATCACTAGCTACAAAAATCACTTCACTTACCTCACCCCTTAAAATTAATAGACCTTTTCCTTTTCACATTTTAATCAGAAATTACTGTTTTATCATACTTCCTCATTAGTGGATCTATCAGTCTCTTCCATTTTTAGCCATATGCGCATCGATAACTCACATTGCAGTGACTTATTTTGATAATATATTGTTACTTGAGTGTTCAACAATACCATACTGAAGAGAAAACTCATATGAATTTGGAGATTGGACCTAGAAGAGAAGGATATAGTTCTAGAAAGATAGGCTTAGTTCCTTCTACTCACTAAAATGTAGTAGTTCAATTTCACAAGCATGGTTAAACTGAAAGGGTATTCAGTCTCCAGCTGTACATAATAAGTTAACAAATGCAAAACGATGAATCATAAATATCTCATATATGAATAATAAAACAAACTTCATATTTTGTTAAAAAGAGCATGATTTACAAGTAGAACCCTCTTAATCTCCCAATCCACTTCAGTGAAACACACGCTGATCCCCTAGATATTCTTATAATGCCCCCAAAGAACTGTGGCAACCAAATTATACTAGCATGCTGCTGAATTGTAGAGCAGTAGTCAGCATATATACTTACTTGAGAGCCAGCTCTGTGTGTTGAAGTCTGTAATAGAAAACGGCAAGGTCCCCGTAACTTTTCATGGTATCTGGATGATCAAGCCCCAACTCTCGTTCATTGATATCCAAAGCTTTTTGCTGATAGATTGTGGCCTGGAGCGAAGATGTCTTGAGTTAGAGGTAAGCATTGGTACTATAAATAGGTAGCATACTGCAGTAGGTAGGTCATCTACAAATTTTAATTGGCCTTAGAAAAGGTCGAAGATATCATGTATGCCATGGAGATAGAGGGAGATTAAACAAGGTGGGAGATGGACCTGATTGAAATCTCCTGTGTGATATAAAACAACTGCAAGAAGGCTGTAAGCACCTGCAGACATACGATGATAGGGTCCACATACTGCTACCAGCTTTGCAAGAGCCTGAGTACGCAAGAGAATTACAGTCACACAACAGACTAGTAACCACAAATAAGACAACAGAAACCTGATTCACATCTACTAATGTAGCATGTTATCTCTCACTTCTCTTTTTGTCATTCGCAAAGAAGAGGAAATATGAAAGCCACAGATTCAGAAGTTCCAGACACAAACCACTGACCCAATCCTCGTGGAAATTTTCAAAATTACTCAAAAAATCACCTTTGTTCCGTAGCTGACGGCTTCTTCAAGCTTCCCCTTATCCAAAGCTGTTTTAGAAGATTCCAAGAGTTGCCGTCCATCAGCAGAAGAGCATGCCGCTTGCTGCAGAGACAAGAATCCAGAATTTTACAGGATGAGATAAATCCAATACAATAAAAATGGAGAGAGAATAAGGTAAATATCGCACTACAAGATTAGATGTCACCTTATGCACTGGAACTAGACTGACAATATCTTCTTTCCGGAAAGGGTTTGAAGATGTCATATCAAAATCCCTAGGGACAAGCTCAATGCCAACCTAAAAATGAGAAGGATGAACCTCTGATTATTCCAGCCACTTAATTTCAACACCCATAATAGGCAGAGTATAAGACAGCATGTAAATATATTTTTTTCTTTTGCAACTGAGGGGGCAGGTTGGTTATTGCTATTATCCCTTGTAAATTCAAGTCAAATATATCTGGATGCGTGTATAGAGCAACCAAGAAAGTAATGGCTTGCCCAGAACATTTCTGATGCATGATAAGCTAGATAATTGCAAGATTAATGTAGCAAAAAGATATCCACAACATTTAGAACACATATAGCACTTGAAAAGCTTCAACGGGGACAAAAGATTTACCTAGCTCAGTATTTTCAAATTGAATGGAATAGCTATATGTTTGACATATATTCTCTATTGGAATCTTATATCCGAGAATGTTTAATATGGGTCTTGCTATCAGATGCATTATGTCCAAAATAAAGATTACCATGCCAGTAATAGTAGGCTAATGATGTTGATATTTTGCATGCCCTAAATTAACAATTTAAAATAGGAACTATAACTTGAATACATTAGCTCCAAACAGGTGTGCCTCAGTGGCTTTATCTTGTTGAGGTGTTTGAACATATCTCAGCTATTTCAACCTATTAATCTAGTATATTGGATTTTGCAAAAGATTAAAAGTTTTTTATTGGCCCATAAACAGACATAGGGAAATTCATGAACTCAACTTGATTATTTCTAATCAACTAGACAAATTTATAAAAAAAGGGTAGAGAGTTAGAGTTGATTCACAACTTTTTGAAACATGCAATGTACCTTATGGCATACACCGCGAAGAATTGCGAATTTTCTCACATCCTTGTAGTTTGAGCTGCTTAGATCCCATTCAAATCGCTTTTTGAGAAATACCTCCAGCCACCTCCATACGAGGGAATGGATAACATGAGACTTATTTGGTCGTCCATTTGCAGGGACTCCAAGCATCATATTCAATGTTGCCGCAATCAATTCTGCCATTTCCTCAGTCTTGACAACAGCAGCAATTACTGCCTCTAGAATATGCTTAAAAGCTCGTATAATCATCTCATGGATGCAAAGAGATTGCACATGCGATAACTTTTCTGAAAGCTTAACCTGCCATAGAAAAGAAATAACAAACATTACTCAGTAAATGCACACAGATTTTAACATGCATGAATATAACTATAAGGCGAAGGCACAGAAAAAGGTATGGTTTCATTGTCTCGAAATGGAAAAAATGAAGAAATATTTCACGGATAGAAAAGTCCACATAACCATAAGGAACTTACTACTTTCCCAAGAGATCGCATCCGAAGACCTCTAGTGTGCATGAAGTCAGTTAAAGTCCGACCATCCACTGGAGAAAGTTCCAAAGAACCAAAATCTGCAACCTGGATTGTACAATAAGGGATTAGAGATTGACAATGTCACTCGGATATAAAAAATTGTGTAGAAGGATACAATTAGGTAGTACCAGTTTTGGAAGAGCGACTTCTTTGTAATATTTTTGAGACAAGTCAATTAGTTCTTGCATCGTCTATCAAAAACACACGTAAAGGTTAGTATGTCTCATTCAATTGAAGTAGTATACTCCAAATACTTATAAACTTTACTACCTTGAGATGAAGTCCAGTCTCCGACTCTTTTAACCGAGTGAAAGCACTATCGGATAATAACTCCTTTAGCATAAGCTTGTTTTCGTTGGCAACAGTATCAATTAGAGATTTCTTCGAGCTTGTCACAGTTTTTTCAGCCTCCTCATTTACAAAATCTACATCACTCTTTAAGTTTTCAGATTGGATTTCTGTACTATTTTTGTCTGAATTCTTCTTTTTATTTTTAAGGGATTTGAGCGGTGTTCCAAGTCCTTCAACTTTCATCTCATTTTTGGCCTTCTCACTAGATGGTTTCTTATCTTTTTCTGTTTTTTTCTGATCTTGTAAATGCTGTATCCAGCACGCTCCAAGTTCCCATCTCACAAAAGTGTTCTCTTCGGCTTCCTCTTCCTGAAGCTTCATAAGGCTGTCTTCCAACAATCTCTCGACAAAAGCTTGGGAAGAACTATGTTCTTCACACTCTATTGTTCGTGAATGTGATATTGGTATATTTTGTTCAGCAGTATTATTTTCATGAAGAAGAAACCTCAAACTGCAAGAAACGAGGTCATAAGGCTTACATATTCAATAAGTTACTTGAAACAAAATTACATACAAAAAGAGACCAACAAGAAAGACAAGAAAATGGTAGGAGGGTATATTGTTACTACAAAGTAAATGTACTAATAAGCAGACTCTATGGAGTAATTTAGGAAAAACCTGTTAATATTGAGGGCATTAGCACCGCCATCAGGCTGATCAAGAAGCTCAAGGCTTTCCAGCGGATGGCCCACATTCGCATTCTCAATCTCTAGTACTTGCACAGTAGCAATATAACCACAGTACCTCATGTTTACAACACCTAGGGTGGCAACATCCTGCCATCAACATGTATAAATTTCTAAAACAGAAGTGTGACAGAACATAATAAGAGCATAAATTGATGGTATACATCATTGTTTAAATCATATCCACCATATCCTTACATGGGCAGCAGTGTTTTCATCAGCAGTTATCCCCTTTAGTAGGTTTCTTTCCATTAATCTTTCGGTATTTACTCCAGTTGCCCGCTCTCCGTCAATCTTAGTATCTACTTTGCAGCTAGCATTTGAAGCATCTTTGATGACAGTTATCCTCAAATCCCCCACTCGTTCTGTATATATTATTTCTCCGTTTGCAGCAGAATGTGCTAATTCTGGTTTGCCCATCACATGTTGCACAGCTGAAATGGCTCTAAAAATAGCAACATCGACAAACAAACTGTGGAGAAGAAAAGCTTTTCTATCTCGAACCTGCCTTTCCTCTGCTGTTTTGCATGGCATAGATGAAAGGGATGAAAGTTCACGAGCATAAGGTATCAAATCATTTTTTCCATCTCTTCCTAAACCACCTCCATTTCCTCCCCATTTTTCATCCTCTGCAGGTAGAGGAGGAAAGACAGATGGTGATTGTGCAGCTACAGGGGGTATAAGCCATGTGTTAGCTCTAAAGCCATATGGGAGATTTCCAAACTGCATTAAGACAATATTATCAAGATTTCAGAGGGGAAAAATTCCAGTGCAACAAAACCATGTACCATAACATCATGCAACATTATCAAGTTCGAGAAAAGTTGATAAGCAAATAAAATCCAGAAATATTTCTTACCTTGTTCCTCTCCGAGAATGCTTCCATGAGATCATAATATGCCTGAAAGGAGAGCTTACTGTCAGACATTCAAAAACACATTCAACCACAAAAGGCATACAAATGATGTAATCCAATGTATGCCAACACTTTTAAAATATGAACCAAATACATATAGTCAACAGAAAGCATGCATACTCAAGGGAAAATCATTGCATAGATTCCAGCAACCTAATTGGAAACAGGCATCATAGTTTTATGGGTAATGTTTAGATACCGAGGCAAGAACACAATGCCACTCCTTAGCAGTGGATCGAATAGATAGGACTCTGCTAAATCTATGAAGAGCTGACTCCAAGTTAGGAAAGACATTCAATCTTAAGATTTCATGCTTTCAAGTATGAGGAACTAACATTTTCAAAAGCTCTACTGAGTTGTCTCAATAGATCAACAAGACTGTGACAAAGAATCTTATGCTTTCCAATGGTATAAAAACCTTTTCTGCAAGCTTCAACGGGAATCAACTTCCCACTGCAAAGTTTTACCTGTAAACAATTACAGAATCTATTTAGTTCATCTCCTAGTTGCATAACTGGAACATTAGCTTTTAATGAGTTTTGTATGTCTTACTTCAAGGGAGAAAAGATAATTGGCAGCTAAAACGTCATCATCTGGTTGTCTTATTGCCCTCCTTATAACTGTATAATTATGGGGCACCACATAAGAGTTCTCATGTCGAACAGTAAATTTGGCAATACACAAAAAGAACCAAAAACTAATCGCAAAAGCGTGCACATTGGGTTCATTTAAATCGTCTCTTCAACGGTGTAAGAGAAATTGAGACATACATTGAAGTGGAGGCGTGAGATGAGAGAGAGAAAAGAACTCGTAGAAGCTGCCCAGCTTAGGACACGTGTCACTCATCTCTCCCTCTCCATCAACAACCGCCGATGATCCATCTTTGGCAGGCGCCGTCTCTGAGGAGGAATCCTTCAGTGGTTGTTGAGACGTCGGCGATGATGGTGTAGGCGGTGGCGAGGGAGACAGTTTGTCCTTGGTGTTTGCATGGGATGACTTGTTTGATTTCTTCGAGCTCTTGGTATCCAAGGCATTCTTACCTCCATCGCCCTTGGAGGAGGAGGAGTCCTTGTTCGCCGACGGTCCAAACGATGTCGTGCAAGCGACAATGTCCAGCAGCTTCCTGACGTGCGCCGTGGCGCTCCCTTCATCGTAATCCTCTGTAACCAGAGCAGAATCAGAAGTTTGAGGGTGAAACATAGATTTCAATCACTCCGAACATTTTACTAGAAATTTCACTATTGGTCCCCAACTTATTATTTAAATAACAAGTTGGTTACTAATATAGTAGTATTTGAAAATGAGAAACTTATTCATCAATGGTTTTTTTTATTATTATTTACACTCATCATCATCTTAAATGTTTAAATCTTTATTAAATCGCATTCATATGTCCAATTTTATAAAGTTTAGTTATGTTTCTCAATTTCCATCGTGTTTAGAAATTTGAAATGAAGAATGTTGTTTGTGAAATATAACGACTGTTTGATAATGCTAAATGAGTGAATTGTCCAAATAGTCACTAAACTTTACACCATGCTTCTAAGGGGTCACTAAACTTTAAAAATCACTCAAATCATCACTGAACTTTGTAAAAAGTTTCCACGAGATCATTGAACTTTAAAAATCATATCATTCATTACTAAACTTTGCAAAATGTTTCTACGGGATCACTAAACTTTGCAAGATATTTCCTAAGAGATCATTGAATTAGTGACCCTTTGGAAATCTTTTACAAAGTTCAGTGATGAATGAGGTGATTTTTAAAATTCAGTGACCTCGTGAAAATATTTTGCAAAGTTTAGTGATAATTTGGATGATTTTGAAAGTTCAGTGATCTCTTGGAAGCATGACGTAAGTTCAGTGACTATTTGGGCAATTCACTCTAAAAAGTGACATAATCACTTTTTTGGAACAACTCTAACCAATGATTGAAAGGTGTAACCACCAATTAATGCAAATGACGAAAATACCCTTAACATCAATTCAAGAAACTGGATTTGTCCAATGAAGAAGGGTAATCTCGTCACTTGAAGAGCTTATTATAATTTTCATCACATAAGTTTGTAACAAAGATTAGTTGTCTATTTGTTTATTGTCAAATATAATTAAATTTGAGAATCAACTTGCTTCTATTAAAAGATCAAGGTAAAAATGTAACTCTAGTAATAGATTAAGGACCAACTCTGAAATTTGTCCCAAAATTTTATGGGAGAAGAATATAACGACGTCGTATTGTTAATTTTATTTTATAGTTTTCTTTTCCTTTTTTCTTTTACCTTCTACGAGCGTGAGGAGACAGGGCTTTAGTGCGGCAACGTCCACCGTGTCTTTCAATCGCGGGCCCCTCACCTAAGTGAGAACAAAAGTTAAGATCGGAAATGGAGTTAGTGGTGTAATTACAATATTACCCTAACCTTTCTAGGGATGTAAACAAAACTTCTTTATATGGATTCAAAATAGTAATACAAACCATACCTCGTGAGAGAACGAAAAATTGGTGAGATGACAAGTCGCGGTGTTCACCGTTAATAATCGACGAACATCTATGATTCTATCGGTAGATATTCCCTACTCAAAAGTAAGAAAAAACGTAAAATTAATTCTAAAATCGAAAGATCTATCAACTCATTTTATCTAAACTGCACAAGTGTTGTAATCTATATAAGTGCATGTTACTTATCTTTGAAGTTAAATTTTATTGCATTCGACAAGTCTCTGTTTTTTAGTCATGAATATAATTCACTTACGCAACTTTTCAGAACCATACAATCTTTTAGAACAATTCCTTTAGATAGAGATAACTTCGATTGACACAAACCTTTAGAATGACGTGAGACTCGTCCGGAAGGTTTACTTTTATATCCATCACAACGGGAAGAACTGCGAATTAAGCATTGAAATAATATTAATAAAAAGAAACAATAATTAGAAAATTGTTAATACGAATGAAATAAATACCCTTTTCTTCTTTCTTCTTCTTGTCGCCTTTTGTCTTACCACGACCATTCTTGGGTGCCATTTGTAGCTTTGAGCTCGACTCCTTAATCTGAAACTTCAAAATATTTCTCAATTGTAATTAAACCGTATCCATATAATAATATATGAATTGGCACCTTATATTAAGGGATTGTGCGACAAAAATTTTGATAAAATTTGATGAAATATATAATTAAAAAGTTAAAAAAATTGTAGGTCTCATAAAATATTTAATGGTTAAAATTGAAGTTTGAACAGCTAAAAATCTTGTCGAAGAATAGTAATAAATTAAATACCATTGCATCCTTCATTATGGATAGCAAGCTTTCATCCCAAATAAACCAAATCAATCAAACAAACACAAGTAGATGTTTCATCGGACTGAACGGGATATTATGAATATTGCTATTCAATGAACTGTGCTAAAAAATTATCTTGTCGGAATCCCGAAAACACGAGAAAAAATAAGTAGAATAAATAATATAGGAGAAGCATGAGAAGTACCAGATAACACAGCAAAAGATTCTGACAAGTGAGAAGTGAAGAATATATTGATAGAGAAGGGGTTTTTAATGCAGCATTAGCGATAGTAACACAAAGGTTGTACCTTGAGTAGAAACTGTTTGTACGTTCTAGTAGAATTTAAGGTTTATAGTGATAAGGGTTTAAAGTGAAAAGAAGTGCACCATTAAAGAAGATGAATTCAAGCTCTAAACTGAACTTGCAGTGGTATAAAGAGAGAAAGAAGGTCTTCTATCTCTCTCTCTCTCTCAAAGAGAGAGCAAATGGTAGAGTGCGATAAGGAAGGAAGGGTGGAGATTTAACGACAGTCAGAAAATATGGCATTTTGTGAAGCTGATGCCTTGCAAAGATTATAATATAATATCATATTATTTATCTAAGTTTATATATACACACACATAAATACTTTTATGTGTGTGTGTGTATGTTTTTGTACAATGGATATGTATGTATATATAAGTATATATATCATGAGAAATGATTTATAGGTTTCGTTTGATTCTCATTATTGTAGAGTGAGAATGAAAAATATAGTCGTTATTGGGCCTCACACAAGAGATAGAAATTCAAAATTAATGGCTTAATGCGATGGATAACGGTTATATTTTTCATTTTTATGGATTAAAAATGAGAAACAAACGGAGTCATAATGTCTACTAGCTTCGTATATCTTAATCAAAAGTATATTTGAAGTAGGGTTATTATCACTTTACTCAAATGTCGTAATTTATGACACTAATTAATGCAATTCATCACGATTAAGCTTGGGAGTTCACCTCGAGTCTGTCGGACTCACATATTTCAAGCATGCTTTTATATTATCAGTCACATACATCAGTTGGTATCAGAGTTCAAGGTTCCATGTTCGAAAAGATTGAGCATTCCCGTGGTGTAGGTAACGTGCTTGAAATGGAGGTGGGCACAAAGAAAAGAGTTTGGAGTAGATTTTCGGGTTTGATTTTAGATGATATATCAATGATGTCAATGCCCTGCATTAACTGGCATTCGAGCTAGATGTCCCGTGTTCGAATCAATCCTAAAGCATTTGCGTATAGCAAGTGGATAACGCTTAAGAATGCTTGAAAGAGGGTGCGTCCAATGGACTAGGCTTTGTGAGGATTCCCGAGCTTAATTTTATGTAATATAGAGTGAGTTGTATTGATAATATGAGTTACAATTTTTTGACGAAGTGGTGACAACACCTTACTTGACCCTTATTTGATTTAAGTCATTAAAAATCAAAATTTTAGAAGATTTTGATAAAAAATAGCGCCCGTTTAGCCCTCATTATTCCACATTATAAGGAGAATAATAGTAATTTTTGAGAGAATGTATAGTTAAAAAAAAGAAAATATTTTTGGATTTACGCGTATTATTATTTTATTGAAAAATGTGTGGTTGATAAAAAGTGAGAGAAAAATGAATTATAATTTAATAGGAAATAATTTGTGAATTAAATTTTTTGAATATTACGAAATATGATTTTAACTTAAATTTTAATCCAAATTTTTAGTCGAGTCAAGGGCACAATGTATACATATATGTACGTAGGTATGTATGTATGTATGTATACGTGTACATATACTTTTGTTAATATATGGAGGCAGCGGGTGTCAGTTTTGCAGCTTGCAGGCTTAGCCAATATATATATAGGACCACTTATTTATCTTGCAAAATCCTCAATACCCTCCAAAAATCAAAATAATTGCGTTTCCAACTGTCTACAAACGTTAAAACTTAAAAACTGCCGGTCAGAATAGTGAAAATTACCGTGTAATGATAAATATCAAATACTCGATCGATGAAATTTTGATATAGTCGACCTTAAAATCACGATGAATGAAATTTTGTTTAACATTGTTGAAATGTAGTCGTAATTAATTAAAAGCGATTGATATTTGACTAGAGACGTCAAAATAAACGGTTTACGTACTTTCATTAATAAAAAATGTTTATTTATTTTTAGAAGTTACTTCTATATATGTTATTCAATGGGTAGATAACCCACCTCTTGTTCTATTATGGTCGAAAATGAAATTTTGTAATGTCCACCACCCATTTTTTCAAGCTTAGTTTATATTTCAAAAATTGACTGGGTACGAACAAATTCTAATCTCTAAGCACGGTATATGAATCAATCACACCTAACTTCATCGAAAATGACAAATAATTTTTTGTTTTTTTGTTACGATAATTGGTTCAAGATTTTTCTTAAAATTGTTTTCATGAGTAACGTGTTTCATTTTTACATGCAAATCTTAATTTTCGTACTTTTTTAATTTGTTACTCTTATAATTTTGGTTTCTTTAGAGTTATTTTTCTACATAGTAAATTTGACGAAGATTTATGAACATTACGTTTGGACATATGTTGTCGTAGCTTATGAAAATTAAAATAATTTTATTCTTAGATATTTGATTTTTAAATAGAGCATCTCACACACTTATTGAATTTATTTTTAATTTAATCAGTCAAATGTTTGACACGTAAAATTCGATAGACAAAATTAGTAATATAAAATCATTATTGGTCCAATAAATTTTCAGAAATATTTATTCTTCAATTATCAGTCCATTGAGTGGGTACAACATCCACTACTAGCTAAGTATAAGTCTCTGTTGATTATAATATTCATTCAACAATAATTTTCTTGCACTTCTTAAGAAAAAAACATGACCTTTTACCCTAGCATGTTATAATATTAAATTAATGGGAAAATTGCAGCAGCGATCTCTAATATTTTTAATTTTCGCAAACTTTACAATAACCTTCAGTTTGTGAGCCAATGTCCCAAACCTTTGAAAAATTAGCAGTTGGTGTCCAAATGGATTGGTTGACCGTTAGTTGACCAAAAATGTAGAATTTGACCAAATTAAAAAGGGTGAGATGATAATTTATCATTTTTTCCACATAAAACAGTTAAACAAATAAAAAGAAAATAAATGAACAAAAATTAAACCCATCTCCATCCCAAAACCAAAATATTGTTACTCACGTCTTCCACAACCGCCACCATAATCTCCATCGTTAAATGAAACCCCTACCATATTTTTCACTGCGGTTCACCTCCAAATTGGGACACAAATTGAGGATCCGATTCAAACGAACCTGTCAAATGAAGCTTCACCACTTGCTTATCCTACTTACTCCCTATCTTGCTGAGTTTTATCCACCCATTACGGTACACAACGCACCTCTATTGAGATTTATCAAGGTTAATCAAAACCTTAACAGACCCCAGAGCTTCCGAGAAGTGACTCCACAAGTGCGTCCAATGCGCTAGGTGAAGCTTGAGATTTTGAGGGTAATGCGCTTGCTTGAGAGGTGTTTGAGGGCGTTGGGATTGAGATAGAAGCCTACGGTGGAAGTAGAGGAATCCAGTTGGTCATTTTTAGTGGAAGTATATTTATGAAGGAAAGTTCTCGATTTTGAGCTTCACATAGCATGTTGGATGTGTCGACTCCAGTCGAACCCGTCAATTTGGTGGTGGAAGGAAGTTTAAGGGCCAATAAATCAATTCATCTATCCAACTCTCAATTTTCTAACAAATTAAAGGCAATCATTTTCTCTTTATTTTAAGGGGTAAATGGCTAAGTTACCATTTTACCTTTTGATCGAAATCAACTTTTCTGGTCAACTAACGGTTAAATGGATGGATTTGTACCCCAGCTGCTAGTATTTCAAAGGTTAAGGACCTTCGCTAGCACAAATTGAAGGTTGTGATAAAATTTGCAAAAATTGCAAAGGTTAGGACCGTTGCTGTAATTCTCCTCAAATTATGTTGGATTACGATGGTGTTCCAACATCCATACACGTGTGTTGGTGTCCAAATGGACGGGCCAATCCTAATGTCTAGCATAAACAAAAGTAGAAGCACAACCAACACCGCCATAACCCAAATTATATAAAGTGATATAGATAATAGGGCTTGAAGGATTAAAAAGGATGAGGAGAGTGGCATACATAAACAAAAATAAAATCGTATGGTTTGATTAAGGCTTATAAGTCCGTATATAGAGAAGGATTTCCATGTTTTACCGACAAGGCGACATGGGATTGAAAATTCAATGCTCTTTTGTTGTAGCTAAGAACGTGTTTGACTTTTCTTTTTCCTTTTAAATAAAAAATAAACTGCTTTTTTAAGTAACTATTACCCCGTAAAAATAGCACATTTGTCTTGGCTTAAGAAAAAAAAAGGGGGCTTTTTGGACAGCATCAACTACCAAGTGATACAATCCAAAAAAATTGGCTTCTTGCCTTTTCAAAACTCAATGATAACTTATTTAACCCTTATTCGATATTATTTTGTTAAAAATGATTTTTTTGGAGAATGCGATAATAAAAGATAGAGAAAAATTATGAATTCAAGTGCAAAATTATTTTATTAAGAGAATGTGTGATTAAAAATAAGTTTTAGAAAATAAAAACCAAACAAAACCTTATTTTTATCTTTTCATAAAAAAATTATTTTAAAACTTACTTATTAGTTATAAACAAACTTTTCAATCTTATTAGTTCATCCACGTGTATGAACTCATGCTTTTTCGTCCAGTGACGAATCCAAAAATTCATCTAAACTAGAGCGGATTCATCTAAGCTAGGACGGAAGCTCGAGCGGTGGCTTGTCGAGTGCTAGCTCTGCCACTGCCTTCATCTACGATTGCTTTAAAATTTCAAAATCACATACTAGGATAATACACTATCTTAATTTCATGGTCATGATGTATCTATTAAGGGTTTATTGTTCTACATGGGAATAACCTGCCTCCATTTTTTATTTTTTATTTTGTTGAAAAATGATATCTTTTTTTATAGGACTCGAATTCGGTAGGAGCTTAATTTAACAACCAAAAAAAAAATTCATATACAAAATAAAATAATATTAAAAAATTAATTGAAATTGTAATAGATTTTAAAAATCCTTTTAAATTTAGGTGTACTCAATTGAGATTTTAATGAAGTCGATTAAAATTTAGGTATTCCCAAATTAAGATTTTAATGAAATTCAATGGAAATCTTTTAAAATTTAGGCATCCTCAATAACTAATGAATTTACAAAGATTCCAGCAACAGATGAATTTTAAAAAAATTTGGATGGATTTCAAGTTTAAAAATACATATAATCAATTTTTCCATTTTTTTTTTTTTTTGTTGAAAAATGATATCTTTTTTTATAGTATGAGTCGCAGGGTTGGGACTCGAATTCGGTAGGAGCTTAATTTAACAACCAAAAAAAAATTCATATACAAAATAAAATAATATTAAAAAATTAATTGAAATTAATTGAGATTTTAATGAAATCGATTAAAATTTAGGTATTCCCAAATTGAGATTTTAATGAAATTCAATGGAAATCTTTTAAAATTTAGGCATCCTCAATAACTAATGAATTTACAAAGATTCCAGCAACAGATGAATTTTAAAAATTTTTGGATGGATTTCAAGTTTAAAAATACATATAATCAATTTTATTTTTATTTTTTTGAAATTTCACCATGTTTTGTGAAATTTTTATGGAATTTGTGAAAATTTATTTAAATCGATGAAATTCATTAAAATTTATCAAAATTTCTTAGTTGATTACGTCCAGTAAAAGAAAAGGTGGTTTTCTACTCAAATTTCAGTGGGGGCCACACCTCCCTCGGCCACTAGATGGTATGTACGTCCTTCACCACCCATTTTTTTATCTCGAAAATTGTCCCTCATAAAAACTTGACTAAAGGATAAAATAAATTCTCAACACGGTATTCATGTATGAATCACAAATAAATTGATTGAATGAAACAAAATTTTTAATTTACTTGAGATTTTTCTTAAAATTGTTTTTCTTAAAAGTTCATTTCGAGAAGATTCGTGTTCTATACGTTTGGACATGTATTGTTGTATGCTTGCGAATTTCAATACACGCTACCTTTTTTCTACAAAAAATAAATAATTTATTCTCGAAAGAATTACGACGAACTTTTCTATCCAGATAATTAATCAAATCAAGCGGCTGAAAATCCCTTTTAAAAAAGAATAGAATATGTAACAAAAAGAAAGTATTTTTTTATTCGAATTTAAAGTGTGAAATAATGTAATGAGGTCATATCACGAGCACTTTCGAGATTCATAACAAAAGCAAAGACAGACCTTTCGCATTTTAAAAATAATAACAACAACCTCCAATATCGAAAATAATAATTCATTATCAAAACACAATATATTAAAAAGTTTATATACCTATTTTACCCCTACCTAACTAATATTTCAAGATATTGCAAGTTCATATCGTGGTCGTCTGAGGGGTAGTGGTAGCAAATTTGTATTCCGATGTTAAGTTAACTCTTGACTTGCTTAGTACGTTGAACTGAGTTGAGTTGAATGTGCTAACGAACTTTAATAAATTAATACACAAAAACGATCCAACCGACCATATGAACTTTGGAGTAAATATATATTCAAGCACTAAAATGCATTAAAGTATAACAATAAGTCAAATAGTGGGCACTAAATGTAAGAGTGGGGCGGTATTTTCATGTTATTATTTTTTTTAAATGACATAAATTCACATATTAAATTGTTGATTATAATATTTTTTTATTCTTAAAAAGAACATAGATTGGCAATATTAATTGTTGACTGAATTAGAAACCATAATTGGTGTAGTTAGCCCAACCAAAACTTAGGTATCTGAAGTTAGACCTTAAGATTTTGTTTAATAATGATTTTAATTGACTAATCAAATCTAAGATCACAACTAACAAATAAGTGAGATTATTGGCAGTGGAATTAGGCCAATAAAATTCATTAATTATGGTACTTCCCGATTGATTGTCAAAATCAACGATACCAAAATAAGAAAGTTTCAAATACTTGCAATTTACTAAACCAGGCCTCTTTTCTTTTCTTTTTTTCCCAAGAATGGGTCTGAATTTAGTGTAACACGGTGTTACCTTACAAGCACGATTTTCAGAATAAAAGTAACGAAAGAAAAGAATTGGTGAGTGTTTTAGATAATACAAGAGTGAGTGTTACATTAAAGTTAGAAATTTTAATTATTTTCATGTATAAAAAGGGGAAACGGAATTAAAGTAAAATTATAGAAATAAATTGGGTTAATTTCACAAACAGTCATTGAACTTACCTCAAAATTACAAAACGATCTCTGAAGTTTAAAACTTGTAGAAACGGTCACTGAAATTTCATGCACTTTCACAAACGGTTACTAAAGTTTTAATTTCTTTCACAAGCGGTCACTGAGGGACCATTATAATTTTAATTCGCACTTAAATGACCAAAACATGTGAACATAAAATTGTGAGGACCTCGAGCAAATTTCATATAAAACCCAAAACCATTCCCTCATCCAAATTCTCTCAACCCGCCACCTTTCGACCACCATAACTCCAACCTCCGACGACCTTGGCCATCGGACCAACATACCGTCTTGAAGCCTTCTTCACAACTCACCCAACCACTAGTTAACCCTGTTGGAATTGGACGGAAAATCGCACCAAAGTGGGGACCAAAACACTTTGTCAACTTTGGTCACCAACTATGGACAACTAAAAACCCAACCTCCGGTCACCTTGGTTGCCAGACCAACATATCACCTTGAAACCCTCATTGCCCAATACCCCCTTCAAAACCCACCCAACCACCAGCCTCAAACTCGGTAGATTTGACCGGAAGTTTGAACCAAAGCCAAATGAACAAGAACCAAAAACTGGTTGGAAAATCAAATTCCGGCGACAACCATGTCGTACGCACCCCACAGGTTGATCAATCTCCTTATTACACACTTACATATGCCCTCATAACATCAAACAAATCAGAAAATTCAAAGATGCAAAGTTTTTCTTCCACAACGCAATCGGTCCCTTCAACCACGAATTCCAGTGACGGCGTTGCAACTCACGATGGAGGACCACCACCCCTAGCACTGGCCCACCATGGCGCATCTACCGAACATATAGGTCTTGGCCAATTTCGAACGAATGAGGACGAATTTGGAGGAGATTGATCGAATGAGGGAATAGGGCGATTTTTTTGGGTTTTGGGGGGT